TGTAATTTCAAAGCACGATCGCTCGTATCGGTGCGTGTATCAAAAGTCTCATGATGCAAGCAAGGAGGACCACGAACGATGCATCGGACTCACCGAGACGAGAAGGCATCGCCCGCTGCACGCCAATTTCAACGCTGGAGAACCTTCATGCAAAATGCGATAGCAGATGTGTTGGCGTGTAGGTATACTCGCTCGATCTCATCGACCACTGCCGCGGTATTGGCTACTTTTTTGACAAGGAGTATAAAACGAGACTCACTGGCAGTGTATAAACAGATATCAGAGGAAAGGAGGGTCATGCAGGTAATTTCAACGTAAGTACAGAAAATGTTGCTCAACCGCGCAGGAATGTTCTGCCCCGTCCTCGAAGCATGGTCTGCGCTTCCCTTCTCAGCAAGATTCCCCTCGAATTTCTTCACTGGAAATCGAATATTTAGAGTAAATTACGCTGGAGTACAAGGTCTGATTACGGAGTCGAATCGCGGTGAGAAAATGCTTATATGGTTGCTACGTTTATCGGCACTTCTGAACGTTTTTGGCAGTGCATTTTTCGATTCACTCCTGTCACCGCGCATATGCACCTGACAACGGATTCACTACTGCATCTGATGTAACAAAATAAGAAAATTCGCAGAAACACGCAACTTCTAACATGCACTATTTATTTCTTTTCCAATGAAATGGGTGTGTGAAGCAAATAATAGAATGGTCGCAGTTACACATTCGGGTAGACACCTGGGGGGCATAATGGGGTGTTCGGCTTCTTGATACACAATCCGTTTTCCTGATTGCACGTGGAATCGGGGGACGTGCTGCAATCATCATCGGCCATACATGGACCAGACCCGACTTCATAAATCATGCCAAAGTCACTCATAGCCGTGCTGAAATCAAACAATCATTTTTTAAAAGTGATTTCAAGCCAATAAGTATTCTGCGGCAGTAATCTTCCGATGAATTCTGCTATCCAGGAAAGCTCAGTATCGAAGCCCCGTGGAGGCTACTTGTTTTGGATGGCATATAGGATTGCCTCAGTACGAAAGTTCCAAAGCGAAACACGTGGGAATAGGTTGCCATGAGTCATGGTTGAGGGCAATACAAAGTCGTGATTGATTTGAAAATTCAAAGTCAAAGGAGTTCTCCTCATAATCTGTGCCACTGATTGTTATGCGTCAGCTCAGAGCGACGTAAATAAGATCAATGTTCAACTGTCCAGCACAGAACTAAGAGCAACTTCTAAACGAGCGTCGATATTCGCGGTGCCATAAGTTGTAAAGAGTAGGTGCTGATTGAGCCGCCAGTTACTTAAAAACAAAGCGCATAAATATATGAGGGATAGCATCTCCGTTATGGTTTGGATTATATTTATATCTTGTTTTGACTTGATGTTTTGTTAACTGCTGTTTTAACGCCGCAGTGCGCGAAGCGAAAGTCTCACAACGTTGGCGATTTGTGGGCAAAACTCCAGTCTCGGACGGGACTCGAACCCGTACTTGTCCTTTCCGGGGATATTTATATCGTTCCTCAGAAGAACATACTACTTTTATCACTGTAGGAAAGAGCAGAACACTGATTTTTGACCATAGCATGTATCGGTGCATTCTATGCCGACAGCGTATCCCGCAACCATCTGAAGCATACAGTCATATTGTGCAAATGCAAATAATCTCTGCAGGCGGAATGGAATCCCCGACTAACTTACTTGAGAAAATAGGGTATGATCAAACGTAGGGTCGTACACTGCAGTGCTATTGATAAAAGCACCAAAGTCGTGATTGCCCCACCACAGTTCGAAGGCGGCTGCTATGGGAATAGAGGACAGGTTCCTAGATGACAGGAGCTTTTTTATTGACGTAACTTTTTTAAGTGATCTCATGTTTGGTACCACATATGATACAAAGTAATTTTCGAAGAGCTAACCATTACACTCGTATAAAATAAAGCTTCTTTAATGAGTCATAACATTTCAAAAAGTCAAAAACAGTAAAACGGCGTGCAGGGTACCTCATAGGATTGAGTGGCGCCTGTTGATTGCTGATTACTACTGCGGATTCCTCAGCCAAGCAGGAGTATTCCTAAAAAATGGAGTCCCTCATCCTAGACAGATTGGAGTCGCTAAGTGAGTTCGAAAGCATCTGCGAGTTCGGTGGAGCCATCCCATTAATAGAATCCATCCCATTTATTCCCCGCTTATAAATTCGTTTCATTTCCTAAAGCATTGCTTAAAATCACTCTAGCGTAGGAAATCAACCACCTACCAACTGATACATGTTCTGGCTTGGTGGATACCCAATACCCAGCTAAAATTTATATGGCGTGAAATTACTTACATCGGGTGCATGCGGCATCAACTTATCAACTTTCAACCATGCTTTGTTGACCTTTGCCGAGACATCGGAAATGTAGCCGTCTTGCTTCATCTTAGTGCACACTATTCCACCATGGCTTCTTCCACATCTAGCTCCTTCAGCGCCGCATTCCTAGATTTCTTAGATTTCAGCGAAATATCCCTCCAACGATTGGAAACGTCAAAAATCTACTCATCTATTCTGCCGGAAATTGATGTCATATGGGGCAATGAGCCATGTAAGAAGTTTTAAGTGAGGAGACTGTAGATGCAGTCATATACCGCCTGCACATTAGAAATGGATGATGGAGACTTAACACATCCCACCATTCATTTTCAAATTGTATTGAGTGAAATCGAGATCACCCTAGAGCGAATTTCAAGCACTTAATCATCACAATCCAATCAACTCATACAAGCGCCAAAGCGTGTACCCCATGTAACTGCAATTACTTGCTGGATGGAACTCAAGTGCATGGCGCGATCTGAAATCGAGCACTTTCAGTACTTTCAGGTACCTGCATATAGGCTTGACGATCTGAGCTCAACTATGCCTATAGCTCCTAGAATAATCCACCCTGTACGACTTATCGAGAAGAGACGAAAAAGATGCGAGCTCGCATTATTTGAGTCAATTTTCGACTTCTCAAGTCGAGTACCGTATTGCCATTCTGGGAGAACATTCTGGGTAGGAAATCATTCGAATACGGAAATTGCATGTAATCTTTCCACAAAAAGGGCTAGGTAGGCAGGCCCAGTGTGTTGCATGTGTTCTATTCTTGGTTATTTTCTTTGTTGTAACTGATATGAATGCAATGTAACTTCATGAGAAAACTGAATTGTTATGTTATGGCTAGGGTCAGAAACTTCTATGCAGTAATCATTATCACATACTTGTATGCATTCGTGTTGTCCCTGATTAGAGGGGAAACGAAAATACTACATAGAAACGAGAATTCAGTACGGGCACTCGGCTCTTACAGTAACACCCTGGCTTGTCCACCACCCACCCCCGTGTCCTTNCCCAAGGCCCCTTTTCGACGCGTCGTTTGGATTCCTTGAAAGCAAGAATCAAGAATGGCTGGGGAAAAAGTGAGGGAGGGATAACTGCGTGCAACGAGGGGTTTGAGAACGTTCTTGTCTAGGATTCTTTGAAGTGTAATTGTAGCTTACTGTTGCACAAAATGTAAGCAAACAAACGTACAGATTCAGTTGCTATTCTCAGTTAGAAGCTCCGATACATTGCAACGAATAGGTGCTCATATTTTGAGACACCCTGTCCATCTTATCCTGGTAAATCACTTAGGTACAATTTGCTCCAACGTGCGATTTTTGCGTTTTTTTTCAGGCCGATTTTTCGTGCAAATACCAGAACAATTTGCGAAATAGAAGCTGAAGGTATGTAGTCTCCTGATGGAGCATTGTTATCCGAACAGGGAAAAGATTGCTCGGGAACTATTTCTCCGTCAACACCGATTTTCTGTTAGCTCAATCAGATCGGAAGGCGAATGTATGCAATACCGATAAAACACGGATTCAGGTCGTTGGCAGAAAAATGGCGAGTACCAAGTGTGGCATGAACTAACTCCACGCATGTAGTGGTGTCGAATCTTGCTACTAACACATGTATGTACTATAGGTTATGTTGGGGAGAATATGCTCTGAACACCATTACGATTTCAAACAGGAGTCAAACAAGCTACGCCTATGCCATGGAGAGATTCATTGAATTTAGAAACTCTATGGTACTACAATTCTATTATTGAAGAAAAATGAATAAATAGTACACTAGCTGTACGCTGCAGATCCCGTTTTTTTCAAAAGCCAGTAACGGTAGCAGTTGGACATCTGCGTGCGCTAATCGAGTTCAGTAGCCGAAAACTGCGTGTCTGATGAGAAATTGATATAACTTAACCTATTTGTTTCCTTTTGTCATGAGCTAGTTTATTTCAGAAGCTCTTTATAGAAAATAAAAACTGAGGATAAAGCAGTTCATGAACCCTTCACAGAACCCTTCGAGAAATATGTTAGCAATAGAGACTGCAACCTCATTGGAATCTGTGGATCGGCGGAGAAAAGATCAAACTTTTATTCGACAGATTTACGAAAAAAAAATACAATGCTGTGACTATAGCTGCTCTGAGCAAAATTTTTAGACAAGTGAAGATTGAAATTCTAGAAAAGTGGTAAATCTACTAAGTTTTTTTCGGATGAATTCAAGAAACTACTGCAAAGAAAATGAAAAACATACGCGAAGCACCACATAAGGAAGACAATCCTTTGCTGTTCCCCCAATTAAACCCGCTTGAAAATTATATATGTATAAATTGAGTGCCAGCAAGAACCAAGAAGCCATCGTTATAGCGAACGAGCAATTCTCATCACTGTACAGTACCGAGTCAAAGCGCCCGGATATTCATAATTTTCCATCCAGGCATATTGAAGGCCAAAATAAAGGGTGTGAGGAATGGACAGAACTTTTGTGGTGAGCTGCCTCAAACTGAAGCTGCTGAGTTACTCCAAAAAAGTCAGCGGAAGTATGGTAAGCTACAGTCATGTGATCTGTTCCTTCCAGAGCCATGGGCACACCCTTTCCCACAGATCATCGTTTTCTTATGTACCTGAGGTGGACTTGGGAGGGCCTGGAACGCATCTAGCCATCGTCTTGACTCATTGACTGCACTTGTAGACTTTTGTGCTTCCTGACCATCGTCTTGTACCTGATTGATGATGTATCCGTGAAAGGAAAATCAAAAACCCCATCGATAGCAGGCAACCAATCTTACCTATGCAGTTGTTTTTCCAAGAACTCGATTCGACTGTTGAGTTTTGTTTCAGTACTCGTATGTTCAGCTATCAATCGGGCCATCCTGAAAGATTCCTCACATAAACCTTGATCACGATAAATGCCCACTGGTTGCTGGTGGACTTTACACTCAGAGTAAAGAACAGCAAGAGCTAAGTGAGCAACATCTCGTAACTCACAAGTGTTACTAAGAAATGGGCCCAAATGAGGCCAACCGCAGTTGCGCAGTAACCTCCCTTTGAAACTTGTGAAAAATCGCTACAGTAAGCAGTACAGTAAACAACTTGGTTAAGTTCTGAACTGAATGACGTCGAACGAACCTGGTTTGCAAGACTTTCACGGAGTTGTTCAGCTGTTCGGCCAGTTCTTCGACGGTTTGTTGCTCTTCAGGGGCATTCTCGTCCAGTAAATTGTCCTTTTTCAGCAGTTCTCGCCCCTAAGGTTCGTTTTTGATAAGAAAAAACTGGAACAAAGCCCAACATTTTAAACACCTTTGCGAGCAACAGTTTCCTGGCATCCGGGTATTCCCTGAGAGCGTTCCACAAGTCGTTTTTGTTTAGCACAAACAAATCTGTATAACCTACAGATCGGACGTTGGCGGTTCGACGATTGCCATTTTTACTACCTGAAATGCTTTATATAAACCCTTTCATAAGCCGAAAGGTTCTCAGGGTAAGCTCACCGGCGATATTCAAAATGCTAAGTTCACCAAAGACAGCACCTTCTTGTAACGTTGCAAATACCTGAACATTTCGAAGTTGAAACAACCTTCATTCAGGAATAGTTTTGCAGGTACTGGGAAATGTTAAACATGCCCAGAATGCTCGTTTTTCGTTGGTTCTCAGGCATGTCAAGTCTACGCAATAGCATTATGCCCGTCCGTATTCTTTGCATAGGGAGCCAAGAAAAATCATAGCCTACAGGCGTCAAAATCATAATGAGATCCTACGAGATTAGCTAATTGAATTCGAGTGCTAGGCAAAAGTACAGTGTACGGAATACAGTTGTGTGGGCGAACCCCGTCCGAGGCCGAATATCTTATAGCACCTCCGTGATGGGATTCCCTCTGTTAAGATCACTTCAAAAGCAGTTGAAACTGGGTAATAGAAATATTGAAATATCTTCAGTTTGCACCAAATTTGATGTTGATGCGTGCTTGCAAAGCACCTGCTCCAAAGGCATAGGACTATTACACAAGGGTGCATGTATTCAGCAAGCATCCTGTATTTCGAAACGTAGAACGGGGAATCGTCTCCCAAATCCGCATGCACTTTAGAGCTCCTAGGCGAACGTTCTGGATATGCAGTAGCTCCCTAATCGCCAGCTAGAGTAAAGCCATATAGATTTTCGCTAACGGCTGATGTTTATAAATAGGAAACGGTACATACAATACCTATTCGGCCACACTGCAAGGATCAGTGATAGTGATTCAACACTGGCTACCTTTTATCATCAGTGTTGACCTCCTAGCGAAAAAGTCTAGCTATTGAGCGCTTACCGGTTTGTTCTAAGGCACAGCTCGCTTAAAAGTAAGTTAAAAAGTTCACTCAAAAAATAGGTCTTGTGAATTCTTCCTAGAATGAACCTTTGACACCCAGAAACAGCCTAAGGGACGCTGTCGGATAGAAAAACAGCCGAGATAGGGTGTAATAAGGGTCTCTGACCAACGCGGACAAGTTGTTAAGCGTTGTAAAAGCTGTAGAGAATGTACTATTCGCACGGGGACCCACACCTGGCAAGCAGCTCATTGCAGAGAGCTGTATGCAATGGCGTACGTGTTCGAGCAGCTCCTACCTCTTCCATGCAGTTTTTTTTTCGTAACATTTTCACCCAACCCCTTGTTTTACTTCTTTCTTTAAGCTTTATATTTCTCCAAATATGCCGATTTTTTCGTTTTTTTTTCGCCACATTTGCACCATTCTGGACTACTACTTCCACTACTCGTCCAAAACTATTCTAGATAACTTCATAAATCGTGAATTGTGCCTTTAAGCTCCGTGCGAGTGGAGTTACTCTAGCCGAGTCCTTCTGGGAATTTTTATTCGATTGATTCTGCTGAAAGGAGTAATCGCCGCTTCAACCCTGCGATAAATATCATAGTTCCTGAGTGGGCGCGATGCAAGGATTATGATAAGCAACTTAACGCTAATGGAAAAGTTAGATACAATCAGTCACTGTTTACGATGGCTTCACAGCGATGTGGGAAGTCTACTAGTCTGTTTCGACGGGACTGCTATGTGTCTGGGGTTATCTAGTGCATTCCGCCAAATTTCACAACAAAACAAAAAAAGCGGGAACTGCTTGACCATTGCGATTGTTCTCTTTCATCGTTGTACAAGAATGACGGCTTAAAGGTACTGTTCACCACAAAAATGGTTCCTAAGATTTTTCACAGAGATGAACCTGTGACTCTCAAGTATAGATCGTGGTACCCTGTCGGGTCGGAAAACGGCTCCGACAGGGCGTTAAGACAAAAATGATCTCGGTGACAAAATCGGCTTGACCGACGTACACACCCATACGTGGCCGTGTTATCACGGCCGGCCTTGTTAGGGCTCCACCATTCCTAAGGAGCATTAGGACACAAAAGGGATAGGGCTTTTATGCTGAGGACATCTAGACGATTACAGATACATAATTTCGCGCAACCCCTTTCTTACGACTTTTTTAAAGCTTTGTATTTTTTAAAATTCTTTGATTTCGCGTTTTTTGCTACAATTTTTGCATTATTCTGCACCAATAACTTGCAAAAATTCACTAGCCCTTCAGAAATATCGTCAACAATGCCTCTGATACATATACAGCCGTTACACGAGGTTTTCGCATCTATCTTTTGTTTGAGCAAATGGGGCAGGGAAAGGAAACCTCTCCTCTTTCAAAAACCAAACTTTTTGACAAAGACTTTCCAAAGGGATTTCTTTCTTTCTTGCTCTTTTCCTATATCTTATTTTAGGATGAAGAACCTTACCCGAAGTAAATTTAGCGGCTGAAAATTCCCTACCTTCTGTCCATCATCGCCAACTACTTGCAGTTTGCCTCGTTTCACTATGTACATCTCTCGGCCGATATCCCCTTTACGGCAAATGTAATCGCCAGGAGAAAATACCTGAATACCGTTTATATCACAGAACATTCGACTTGGATTGTGCCCAAACAGCATCAATTCGATTTTGTAAAATTACCTGTAGCTGCAGTTTCAGCACCAATTCAGCTAGCAGACCAGCCTCGCAATCCTGAAAACGAACCAAGCTTAGGGAGAAGAGTTGTTCTCCTAGAACGACGGGATCATTCATTGAATAAAACAAAGCTTAATCTTCTCAACGTTATGGGATACATAATGAATCTCACTACCTCTCCAATCTCAGGACAATCTTCACATTCAAGCTCTTATCAACAGAACTATTGAGGAAGAAGAAAAACCTATGCCATCAAAAATCTTATTTGTGTGCATCATGCTTAGGGTAAAATGGCTGTCGGGTGTCTCATTTGTTATATACGCTCGTGAATATCATTACTATTACATTGTCGACACCTAATAGAAGTGATGATGATAGATTCCAACCAGCTTTTCCCCACCGACTGGAAAAAAATAAGTCGGAAAACCGATGAATCAATCAGAGAATGAAGAGATGCCCTATTTGAAAAATAAGAGTTATCTAGGGATAGAGCGCTTGATTTCATACTCAGGAAACTCCGTTTCCAAGAGTAACATATTGAATCAGATCCGTAAAGCAAAACCGGATGCTTCAAACATAAACGAAAGGTAGCCTAGTTAAGCGTCTAGTTTGGTAAATGCCATACAAGAGCTGGTTTGGAGGCAAACGACTATGTAGGCCGTAGACGAAAAGGCAGTGATGCCTGCTGCACGTCCCCCCTTAGTACTCCGCCGTGGTGAAGACTTTTGTAAAATGTCGACTAGCGTTAGATGGAGTATCCGATAGAAATAGGTGGCTTGGCGGCATGTTTGAGATGCTCCACAGAAAAAGTAACCCTCGACCACATAGTGGCAATAGGGATGANGCAACACTTGTCTCAGTGTTGTACGTATGTCTTATTCCAAAAAAGAAGGTTATTGCAATCGGCCAGGGATGAATAGTACATTTCAGCCCTCTCTCGAGATCCGCTCCCTAGGAGACTGAAGAGTGGACCAAGGTTGAGTAGAAAAAAAATGTCCATTTCTGATTAAAGAAGAACGATAGTGGTTTTCAATCGCTCTCTTACACTTAACGAGGATGAAATTTCAGTTTTACCTGGAAGATGCGGACTTTACGAAGAGTTTCGAAGTGCACTTGCATAGCGATTTCGGCTTGTAACTTATCGGGAAGCACTCTCAGAACTTGCTGATCGCTTAAAGATTGCTTATTCGCCCACAGGTAGTCGAACCACTTGATTACACGCATCTCCAACTGAAATGGAAACATTAGTATGAGGACTAGTCTGAATAACACCCTTGAACACTGACCTGCTTGCTGACCCTTCTCAACTCCATGTACTGCTTAATGCCGTCCATTTTGTTCTGGAATTCCGTTCGAGCAGCGCTCATGTTGGAGATCATGCTGTAATCACAAAGCTCCTTTATATGTTTTGAGACCCTCCGACGGCCTTATTCACCTTCCGACGTTACCGACGATGGTAGCGAAAATGAGCACTCCACACATCAAATCCAGCGTTACAAACAGGTACTCCACATTCTGTACGGGAGACGGGACCTGCAAACGGATCATTCATGAAAGGGCAGAGGCTTTTGATGTACCTATTAATTTTTTACTCTTTTTTCTCTTTTAGACAGCTCAACTGCTTCCCTCCCCCCCCCCCCCNCCCCCACCCCTCCCCGGGTTTTACCGTCTACCTTTTTTATCCTTCATGTGAATAGAAATTATCCTTTTGTAACTCTGATGCTATTTCGAATCTACCATTGTATATCGCTTGTACAATAGTTCATTAAATGAATAATGAAATCCCAGACATGCACTCGCCTCTCCGATTGTCGTCAAAATCAGGGTCGACCAATAAAAACTGTAGATATACCGACGAAGAAGCGTATCTTTAACATTCCTAAATCGTTCGCACTTCGAGTAATCTTTGAGGAAATTACTGGCATCTGGGGTAAACTTACTCGGGTAAACTCTGTCTATTGAGTGCACCGTATACCCAACCATCAGATCCCAAACCAATCATTTCCGAAATCCAGAAGTAGAAGCAGGCATTCCAGTGAATGATAACAATGATGTACCACACGACACAAAGCACTCGAAAGGCGTTGGGCATTGAGCTTCTGAAAGCGCAGGATTACTTTTTGGATTTCAAGCAGCCGTAACTTGTTGACTATGCTGTCCCTAGAACAAGGTGAAAGGAAAGCTCTACTGCGCTATTAGAGAGTTTTCGCAATTTCAGTGGGTTCACCTTGTTTCTGTTCGCTCCATACAGTCTTGCACCCTGTCAATGCGCAGGAGTCGATTCAGGCGAACTATCGGAAATGGTCGGAACCACTGAAATGGCCATGGCCACCCTGAACATTCGCCTTTAGTTTTAAGGAACCCTGCATAGAAACAATCACTTACCTAATACGTAATCGAGAGGTATTATACTAATTATATCGTACTTGAATTGTTTACTTTCAAAGTATTGCTTTTTGATTTTGTCGATATCTCTGACAACTAAGCCTTGTTCGAGAAAACCTGGAAACATTTGCCACTAACTACTGACCGGGTGGTGTACATGCTATCAAAGTGTATGGTACCTGTGCGGGTTCGAACGAAGATGTCAAGCCAATAGATGCAGTCCATAACTAAATCGAGGGTAGCCCACAATAGTCGTGTCCACCACCATCGAGACCAGCCCATGTCAGGATAGAGCTCAATTAAGGGCATCACCTGAAAAGGTGTACTCGAATTGAACAAAGGAACGAGAGAACTTGAAGCAAGAATGATAGAAGGTTAGAGCTATTTAGGATCATTTGCATAGCTAGTCTTGACTAAAGAATCAAGTATCAGCTTATCCCCAAAAATCTTACAATGACGGTACGGATCAGAAATGGCCGTTCACCCCTTTTCCGGTACGGTTTGAAGATTCATTTAGCCAGTACCATTCGAATTTGCTGGTACGTTTTTGATGATCAGACAATATCCATACACAAATAAGCGCTTCTACCTATCAGTAAGTGTGTAATAGTGCTTGAAAAACCCTGAGGGGCTTCAGGGCTCAGATATTTTCGACGAGTACCGAGCCATGTTTAGGCCCCTGCGTCATAGATGTTACGAGCGCGTTGTTACCCTTTTCAAGAACTGTGATCTCGCAAAACAACATACAGTGAACGAGTTGTGAACAGTGTTTCCGACTCTGGAACTTTCGTTTGATAACTACGGAGATGAACGAACCTCTTTTCAATGCAAAGGTGAGCCTGTTCCCGCTAGGCCAAGCTAGTTTACTGAAAAGAAGGATTTGTTGGTTTGTTTATATTTTTTCTTACTTCAAGGTTATTCTCGGCAACTTCATATAAGCATTTTCTTTTGCTATTTCAATGTTGCAACACGTGTCACTGCTTCTTGCGCTTCTTAAAAGTGTTTTGACCGCACACTGAGTAGGACAAGAAGCCGAAAAGTTGGCCACATGGCCTGCTTCTTATTGAGAGCTGAAAAAATAACTTCGACGAACTCGAAACGACCGCTGTTATAAGATGGAGTCGAGTTTGACACTGTAAGAGGCTGATCAAACAAATAGGGAGTTGTGTTCAGGCGTAGACTGCACACTCATCGGCAGTGCTGATAAGCGCGGGCAAGTCTCTTGGATTAAAAAAGTGGAAAACGATTTGAAATTCAGAAGCATGGAATTTATTCACGGGCCCAACCACAAACCCCTCAGAAAAAAATTGCCCAATGCTAATCTTTGCTATATTCTGCCATCCCCTTGATAACTATCACTGAGCCATGAAGATATGCAATGATACTGGACTGTTCTTCATGCATGCATTCGTACTGAGAAGGTAATTGAGCGCGTCATCTGCTCAATTTAGTTCACACCTCAGTTCTGTATTCGATCCTATGGTCGCAATACTTTATCGGTGAAATAAATACTCAATATGCGAAATAGAAAACTGTCGATGGCCCTTTCTCGACTAACGTTCAACATTCTCGAGACCAACATTCATTAACCAATAAGTTGGGACAGTTTACCTTTTTGTTCAAACTTTTCAATGGGGGTAAACAAAATCCCGCTTTACAGCACCCGAAGATGATGAGAAGGTGTACTCAAAGCACTCTTCATAAGAAAAAGAGCAATGAAACCAAAATGAGAAAAAGGAAATCGTAGTTGAAAGTGTCTCAATAGAGTTGCCAAGGGTGATCTCGAAGTAAGGACAACAGTAAGTGATCACACTAATTGACCACAGCTCAGCTGTCTACAGCTGGGCGATTCAGCTGAATTAGCGTCACGGGCTCCCCTTCTCTGACTGGAGACATGGAAAAGAAATTTTCTAGCATTTATAGATGAGCTGCCCGTTTTTTTTTACTTTCGCTCCTGCCCTGAGTTACTGTACCAGTCAATTTCCAAATTGGAAAATCTGATTTGCATAAAAAAAGACAGCAAATGTAGTTGCAGTGCCCAACCACCTAATGGAACAGTCACGTAAAAAGAAGTTGATCGCAAACCTGCATGTTCATCAGCTGATCATCGGTGCACTCTGCGGTGACATTCTGGAAGGCGGACGTCGTACTCCGACAGACAGGAACTCCAGTCGGACCAATCAGATCGACAAACACCTGGCGGGCGATCACGAACAGTAAGTTATAGATGAATGCCAGTGAGACCTGAATGTATCCAGGAATGTTCCATCGAACAAACAAAGTGTACTCAGAGCAGAGAGTTTTAAAAAAGCGAGGATTGCGCCTAACGGCCCGGGTTTTCTTGAAATGATACTACTCCGAATCTCCACCATTCTGGGGATAAGATTTTTGGAAATTACACCCCAAAAAATCCCTCGAAGCGGCTTAATCCCCAGTGATGGGAGATTCCGTCAGTTTTCATGGAAAGAAGGCATTCTGTCACACAAATCGCATCAGTAGGCACTTGCCCAGATTGGTTTCGAGAATGCTACCAAGGGCAGTACCGTTGACGTTAGAAACGCTGATTCAGACTGTTTCCATGACGTCTGCACTAGACCCAAAAAGGAAATCTCAGCAGACAAAGAAAGTCGTACTCATTCTTCCCAAGCCTTGCCCAAATCAGTTTACCTAGGAAGAAAAATTCAAGAACTACAAATACTACATATTTAAACCCTCCATGTTCATTAATCCTCCATGCTTTTTAGGATGAGGGCATCCAGTTTCAGCCTCAGAAATGAATGCATGGCATTAAACCCGAAGGATTATCTTGTTGATTGTTTTTCAGAGGAAATACAAAGCTTGTGAATAGGTTAATTTTCTGAAAGGTTAGCGGAAATGATCAGGCAGGCCAGTGCTCTCTCGAGACAAAAATCCACGATACTAGAATGCGAAAAAATCATTACTCAATAAATTTTCTCAGAAACAATGGGTCAGCTAGTCCTTTGGGGACATTCTATGGTAGGGCCAGAGTGGGAACTATTCAATCGAGTTAACTCCCAGTTTTTGAATTCGTAAATCGTGAAGCTGTACGGTTGTAAAAAACGCAAATCAGTCTCTTACTACCAACTCGATTAACCTGAAGGATAGTGCTCGAGGACTCGATCCCTGAACCATGCATGAGCTAGTGCGCTACTTATCGCTACACCACCTCCGGTTGAGGCTTCTATGAATATTTCCAAATTTTAATAATAGGTTGAGTCATAAGTCCACGAGCGTTGCTCAGACCATTGACGCATTGACATAGACAAAG